TCTTTTTCTCCTTCCTTCCTTCCTTCCTTCCTTCCTTCCTTCCTTCCTTCCTTCCTTCCTTCCTTCCCTCCTTCCTTCCTTCCTTCCTTTTTAACTATAGTTACACATATGTACATGTGTGCCTCAATCCCTTCTCCTCCATTCTCCTGGGATTTGAGGCACACATGTACACATGTCCAGAGTATTTTTCAAACTTCCATGTCTGGGACTCGAACTGCAGTTGACCACATGGGAATCCAGTACCTTAACCACTATGCCACTTGCTAGCCCTAACCCATTTTACTTATAAAGACACAGAAAGATTCTAAGTAAAATAAAGATATGTACATAAGTACAAGAAAGCTGATACGAGTCTTTCAGCAGATGAAGTAGACTTCAAGACAAGTATTGCCAGAGATAAAGAGGGACATTTCATAATGACAGGATGGTGTATCAAGAGAAATCTCAATTAAAAATGGAAATGTGCCTAATGACACAGCTTTAAATTACATAAAGCAAAACCCGACAGAAGTAAAGGAAGAAATAGACAAATTCAGTCACCCATGTAATACCTAGTAATACATTTAACAAAAGATGTATAAGACCACTAATTAAAAACTACAAAACATTGCTGAAATTAAAGCAGGGAGAGAGAGAACTCATATTCATGAGCTGTTAAGATATCTGTTCTCAGATTGATCTAGTGCTTTAATGCAATTCCAGGCAAAATCCCAGCAGGCATTTAAAAATAGAATTGATAAGCCGATTGTAAAACTTGTAAAACAAAAATGAAACAAAATCAGAAGACTCATACTTTGTGATTTCAAACCTTAAAGTTAGGTTAATCAAGTCAGTGAGTGACTGGCAAAAGGATAGCTATAGATTAGAATCAAGATACAGACCCATTCATACGTGGAAAATTATTTTGGAGGACAAGCAATTGGTGCAGCAGTCAAGGTGCTGGACTCCCAGGTGGCCAAATGTGGTTTGAGTCCTGGACCCAGCAACTTGAAACTCACTGGGTGTATTGTGTGTGTACCCAAAATTCAGAGAGGAGAATAGAGAAAGGATTGCGGTGTGACCATTCCCTTGGGGGGGGGAGACTTCTTGCTTTCTGTCTTGTCTCTCTGTCTCTTCAGTGACTGCACGTGTCCTATGGCAGAAATCTCTCTTAAAAAAACAGATTTATGACAGATATACAAAGACAATTCAATGAGGGAAACAAAGTTTGCAACAAATGATGCTAGAACAGCTGGATATGAGGAAAAAATGAACCTAAGCCTCTAGCTTGTGAAACACACAAAAATTATTTTGAGATGGGCTATCAGCTGCAACATAAATGTTTAAACTATAAAGCATGTGGACCAGCAGTCGTGTGATGGTTAAGGTACTGAACTCCCAAATAACCAACAACACTTCAAGTCCTGGACCTGGTGGCTTGCTTTCTCACTTTCCCTCTTTCTCTGGTGAGCACATGTGCTCTATAGCAAGTTAAAAAGTAATGATAATAATAAATAATTTTAAAAAAAGAAGAAGAAGAAGAAAAAAAACTATATAGCCCCTAGAAGAAAATGTAGGAGAATCTAATTTTGGACATCAGAATAGTGGAAGAGATGCAAAAAGAGAAGCACCAACCATACAAGAAAAATGGGTAAACTGAATTTCATCAGAATTTAAAACTTATTCTTTAATAAGTTTTCATTAAGAAGATGAAAAAGCAAGCAAACAACTGGTAGAAAATATTTGCAGTGTATGAGTGTATAGATCTGACAGAGGACTGTGTCTGGAATATATGAAGATTTCTTACAATTCCATAAGAAACAACTACATTTTAAAAAATGAACAGAAGACTTAAATACACACATATATATCAGGGCTGGCCCTATAGCCTATGGTTAAGAGAGCCAGATCCCTGCCATGGTGCTCGAGAAACATGTCAACATGTACAACTGTGCCCAAAATCTTGACGAGATGGAGAAAAAGTGATTGCGATATGACCATACCCCATCGGAGAGTGCTTTCCCCCTCCTTCTTTGTCTCTCTCTGGGGAGCACATTCACTCTCTGGCAATTAAAACAAAAAAATGAAAAGAAGATATTTAAGTTGGTAATAAACACATGAAAATTGTACAACATCATTTGGCATTAGTAAAGCATGCATACACACAGCGTGCATGATGCAGAGTCTCACACCCACTAGAATAGTTAAGGTTAATAAAGGTTGACTCCACCAAATGTTGGTGAATATGTCAAACAGCTAGAATCCTCACACATGACTGGTGTAAGTGTGAACTGGTATAACCCCTGGCAAATTAGCAACGTATAAACAACTCCTCTGGTGCCCCCCCCCAAGAGAAGTGAAAACACATGTTCACTAGAAGACATAGGTATAAATGTTAATTGCAGTTTTATTCATAATAGTTCCAAACTAGAAACAATCTGAAAGGCGATCGGTAGGAGAATAGATAATCAAATTATGGTATATTCATACAGTGACTACTTCTGAGAAATAAAGAAAAAATTAATTACTCGTACATAACGTGGTTGAATCTTAAAATATATGTGGAATCAAGGAAGCCAAACACAAAAGAATACATACCTTATAATTCTGTTTACATGAAATTCAAGAATAAACAAAAACTAATCTTTTTTTTTTTTTTTTCTTATTTCGGAGAGGTTTTTTGCTATAGGGTGCATGCACTCGCCAGAAAGACAGAGACAGAGAGACAGAAAGCAAGAAATCACCCCCCGGGGGGATGGCAACACAGCAATCTCTTCTCTAGGGATCCTGGGCACGCACGCACACGCGCCCGGCATGAGTTTAAGCCTCTGGGTCCAGGACTCGAACCGCGGTCAACTACATGGGAGTCCAGCGACATAGCCATTATGCTAACTGCTGGTCCCCAAACTAATCTCTTTTGTTGAAATAAAAATATTGGTTGCCAGAGCATGTGGAAGAATTGACTCTACAAGTCACCAGGGAAGGTTTGGAATGACAGACATATTCTGTTTCTTGACTGGGGTGGTGGTCACGTGGATTCACACATTGAGCATGACTTATAAAATTGTATACTTAGATCCTGTGTACTCAATGCTGTCTAGATTTTACCTCATTTCTTAGGGGGGAAAAAAAAAACACTTCAAAGCTTCTGTACCTGTTGACACGGATAGCTGTAACTCATAGAGAGCTATGGCTCTCAGAGTACACGAGCACCTTTGTTGTTTTATGCTTTTGTTTTATATAAATATATATATATATATATACACACACACACACACATACATACATACATACTGAGGACTAGTAGGCGGCATAGTGGTTAAGGTGCTGGACTCCCACATGGCCAACTCTATAGTTCGAATCCCAGCTTAAAAATCAGGCCAGGCACATGTCTGTGTGTGTGCCCAAAATCCCAGGAGGGGAATGGAGGAGAAGGGATTGTGGCATGGCCATCCCTCTTGGGGGATGATTTCTCACTTTCTCACTGTTTCACTCTGTCTCTCACCTATCCAAGAAGCACATGTACCCTATGGCAAAAACTTTAAAATAAACAAACTATGCTAAAAGCTAGCCCTGTTAGCGCAGTAGTTAATCCCTGTGCAGAAGGAGCTGGATTCTACATGGCCAACTGCATTTGAATATGGGCCCTAGCAGCTTGAAAAACATGTGAGGCATGCACGCACACATGCTCAGAATCCTGACGGATGGAGAAATGGAGGACAAAGGATTGCTGTATGACTGTACTCCATGGGTGGGGTGGGCTTTCTTCTCTCTCTCTCTCTCTCTTTCTCTCTCTCCCTCTGGAGAATGCTTGCACCCTAAAGAAGTAATAAAAGAAAAAAAATGCTGAAAAACCCAACATCTCACAACTACTTAGGCAGTTCCCACTGAAACAGAAGATTTATGTGTATATTTGAGTTCATGTGAGGTAAAGAACTCATAAAGACCTCAAGAGCATAGCTTTATTTTCCTAAAGTCCCAGAAGGTAACTTTTAAAAGGTTTTGTTTTGGGAATATATTTATAAAGCTATTTTTTTAAAAATAAGTGTAAGGAGACATTCTAACCAATTTAGTACCAGTGGGCCATTTTGGGGTGGAGAATGCAGGATTTTATGTTTGCCTCACATCCTTTCTTATCCTGACAACTTACACTATTTTGAATTTCCGATCCTATTGTAGCTGAAGTTTGCGCTAAAGACCTACTTTCCTTATGCTTCTCCATCCCTTACCATGGTGCTACTGCAGCTCCCTAACGGTAAGTAAATTCTGCCCACGTCTCTGTGGGAGACGATGGACAGGTCATAATCCTTCCCTCCCAGTTCCTGTCTGTAACGCAAGAGATGGCACTGTTTGCATCCAAGACCCCATTAAGCTCACAAGGCCTCATGTTCTGTGGATTTTGATAGGACAGTTTGCTTGGGCTCCAGCAGGTGGTATAGTGGTTAAGGTGCTGGATTCCCATGTGGTCCACCATGGTTTGAGTCCCAGACCTAAGGCTTGAAGCTCATGCCAGGCACATGTGTGTGTGCATCCCCAAAATCCCAAGAGGAGAATGGAAAAGAAGGGACTGCAGCAAGGCCATCCCTGCTGGGGGCTGATATCTCACTTTTGGTCTGTCTCTCCACTGAGCACATACACCCTATAACAAAAATCTCTCTCTCTATGGGACCAGCAGTTAGCGTAATCGCTATGTCGCTGGACTCCCATGTAGTCGACCGTGGTTCGCGTCCCAGACCCGGTGGCTTAAAACTCATGCCAGGTGCATGTGCGTGCGTGCCCAAGATCCCGAGAGGAGAATGGAGGAGAAAGGATTGTGACGTGACCATCCCCCCTGAGGGGTGATTTCTCGCTTTCTGTCTCTCTGTCTCTCTCTGTCTGGCGAGCGCACACGCCCGATAGCAAAAAAACCTCTCCAAAAAAAAAATAAAAATCTCTCTCTCAAAAACAAACCAAAAAAAATGTGGCTTGACTTCCCAGTTACAGTCACTTACAAAATAGGGAAGAAAGTCAGAGGCAGGAGTGAGCCCTGGTCTGTTTTGCAAGTCTGCCTCTAGATAACACAGGCTCTGCTGGTGCCAGCCGGAGCTACTATACACCAGGAGCAAGCGAAGGCATGGCCAAGTCCAAACAAAACCGTATATTTATCCGGTTTTCATTCTTCTACTCCACACAGCTTATTGCAGAAGAGAAGGTAGAATGATGATACTGAGGAAATCTAGGGGAAGTTTCTCTCAGCCAAGCCAAGGGAAGGACTTTGAAAGAAGTCAGTAAGGTGCTCCCATGTGCCTGCATCCTCTTCCAATCTCCCTCGCGGCCTGCCCCATAGCTTCTGCCGGACGCGATGATTCCATCCTAGCGTGCTGGGTGCTGATCTGTGAGCAGACCTGCAAGCTCGTGTTTATGGAGCATTTCAGGAATGGAGATTAAAGGCACCCTTTCTCTCTGAAGCCTGAAACCTAAAGAGAAGGCGGGCCTGGCACAAACACAGACTGCTACAGAGGAGGGGCCTGTCTGACCGTGGGAGGGAAGAGGGGAGGAAAGGGTGCAGAGCCAGGGACATGTCCCTCTGTGAGCTTTGTGGCCTTCCTTTCTCCTAAGACTTCAGTGAGTGGATTTGTGTGAGAAAAGTGGATGATTCAACATTTCAGAGCATTTTACAAAATTTGCATTCCTCCTTTTTTCCTGGAAGATACGGGTTCCTATCCAAGGTTACCCATCTGACATGATCCTCTCAGATGCTAAAGGTGGGGGTAGTGAGATCTCTGAGTGACATCTTGTGAAACCTAACTTGAGTAACAAGGTGGAAAAATCAGGAACTCGTTCTCCTGGAGTACCTGACGGCCTTCGTGGGAAGCTGAGTGAGCTGCAGGAAACATCCTGGAGTTGGAACATTTTGAGTTTGGAAACCTATAAACCAGCAGTCCCCAGCCCCTGGCCATGGACTGGTGCTTGCCCATGGGCTAGTGTTGGTCCATGGCTGTCGGGCTGGCCCCCAGCCCACGTCGGGGTGGGAGTGAGCAAGCGAGCGAGGCTCCATCTGTGTGTAGCTGCTCCCCATCACGCACGTGGCTGCACGGGCTCCACCTCCTGGTGGACCGAGGCCACTGGATTCTCATGGGAGCAGGACCCCTATGGTGTGAGCGTTCCATTGTACGTCGCATCGTGGTAGTACTAGGCATGGAGTGCACGGTGGGTGTGGTACATCTCGGTCTTCCCAGGATTAACCCTTACCCCCAAGTCCACAGGGGGGTTGTCTTCCGCCTCCCTGGTGCCAGGAAGGTCGGAGACCACTGCTCTAAACAAAAGATCACGGTAGCACATGGGTATGGACTCAGCCTCTGTACCCTTTTGTCTGTGTGACTGTCCTAGATGTGCCCCACATAAATGTCTGTCTTTGAGCAAAAGTACAAGAACCTTCTGGGTTAGTTTCTTAAATAGTTGTCTGCATATTACTTTTGGAAAAACTGAATTAATTGATTTATTTATCTCTCTTTCCTGAGAGAAAGAGATAGAGAAAAAGACAAATACCCTAGACAGGGTCTCATGCTGTGATCCCTTCGCAGCCTTCCCAGCCAGCCAGGACCGTGGGGCTTGTGCACACACATGCCCAGTATGTTCAGGCTGACCTGGGAACTGCTCTCCGATCTTCCGTGTGGCTTCCAGCACTCCCTTACCGTCGTGCCGCTGCAGCTGGGCAACAGTGAAATGGCTGCTACCTTCATAGATGCTTTTAACAGGATAATCATCTAGCAGTCGGGAATTTATTTTGTGCCCATTGTGAAGTCCTGAGGGGCCGAAAAGATGATCACTTAGGAGCCCTGCCTATCCAGGAGCTGTAAGGAGAGGGGACATAAAATAAGTATCTGATCCACTAATAAAAAGGAAATGAAGAAAGCCTTTGAAAGACTGTGAGTTAAGGACTATGGGGATCCAGAGCAGGGAGAGAATCTTTGACCCTTTCATCGGTAATACTAATATCCATGGAGCAGTGGTGGCCCGGGCATCACTTGTGTCGCCTTCTTCATGTAGTCGACCTGACAGAATATGTCCTTTTCAGATGTTGCTTAGAACTGCAGAAGCATGCCTGCTCAGATAGGTTTAGAGCCACAGAGTCATCAGTGTGAAACCAGGAAATTAACTCAAGACAACATTTGCTTGTATGATGCCCATACATTCTATTTTCTGGCTTTTTTTAATCCCCCACCCCCCCCCCACACACACACACACACACCCCAGGGAGGGTGGCCATGCTGCAATCTCTTCTCTTACCATTTCCTCTCGAAATTTTGGGCACACACACATGCACGCCTGGCATGAGTTTCAAGCCCCCAGGTCTGGGACTCGAATCACAGTTGGCCACGTGCGAGTCCAGTGCCTTAACCACTACACCACCAGCTGGCCCCAGCCTTTTTGTTTATTTAATTGTAAATCTGAAGTCATATTCTCAATTCATCATGGCTGTAGAAAAATATTTGTGCAGTCCATTCCTAATTCCTCGTTGCTGTTTACTACAGTCTCTGTATATATTTCTTAAGTTGGTTTGTTTGTTTCATGAGTAAGAAAGAGAGAGACAGCACCCCCAACAGAGTCCCAGCCTCAGCCAGCACAGGCCGTGGGCACACACATGACTAGTGTACTTAGGGAGGTCTCTAGATGAGAACTGGGAACCATCCCATGTGGTCAGCCTTGATGAGTGCCATGTTTTACTGCCATGTCACCTGCCAGCTCCTTCATGACATTAGTATCAGTGATGGAGGGAAGGTGGTGGGTAGGTAGGAAAGAAGTCCCTGAACATCCATGGCATGGCATTTCCGGGCCCCAGCGTGGGCGTGCATGCAGTCTTGCCTGCTTCCATGCATCTGAGTTAAAGACTTCGAGGGTAGCTCTGCGTACCATGGACAGGTCTTTCTTCCCCAGGCTTGGGAAGGGATGTGTGCTCGCTGAGCGTGGCAGTGTGGGTTCTGTGAACCAGACAAATAAGAGCATGTACCCTAGACTCTTCCAGATGGTTCCTGGCAGGTCTGACATTTTGTCAGCCCCTCTGGCCTCTCTCTCTTTACCCACAGATACACCACAGGGACACCGGCACTTGATACTGAAGCATGCTTCTGAACTGCTCAGGAACGCAGTTGAGGGTCAGACTCACAGGTGAGCAGACAGTGACCGAGCCCAGGCCTACCGCACATGTAGTCCCTGTGGTCCCCGTCTAACTTTGAGCTGGCCTGGTAGCCGAAGGCGTCAGTGTCTGAGGCTGTCACCAAGCAGGTGAGCAGCCTTGCTGAGGGAGAAATGGAGGAAGCATGGAGCTGCGGGTCGTTGTGTCCAGGTTGGAAGGCCGCCATGTAAATCCTGAACAGATACTGCCTATGTAATGCCTGGCTTTGGACTTGGAAATGTCCAAGCATGACAGTGAGTGAAGAGATCCTAGAAGCAGCAGTGCCACATCCTAGGAGCCCTAGCCACGCAGAACGCAAAGCTCATGCGCGTCTTCTTGGGACCTCACCTCTAGGGAAGCAAGTTCTAAACCTCTCCTGTA